GGTGGATGGGGCCAAAAGCAGAATAAAAATCCAAATAAATAAATAGAAATAGAAAATAAATAAAATCCACAGGCACACACATAGAGAGAGAAAGAGGCAGGCGGACAAGTATACATACACACATTCAGAAAGCCAGAGATCCCTTTCCCTAACCTATAAGAATAAAAACCAGCTTTTTACTTTCCAAGAGCAAACAGAGTCTTTTCTCTGGTTTCAGCACTGTGCAAAGATTGAAGGTAAGTGAAATGCTGCCTGCACTTTAAGAGTAAAGGCATTTGCATCCTCTTCCACCACACTCCTGGAGTAGGAATATGTGCAAATGTTGCCTTCTACTCTCAAATAACAGCCTGAGGCTTATCTCTGAGCTGAGCACTGTTGGGCAGAGTGCTAAAATTCAGGATAAGATTCTGCTTGCACTTTGAGCTCTTGGTGGTGCTTGGTGCCAGGGGTGCCGACTTGAATACAATATGGGGGGAGGCAGGTAAGCGCCACCCCACATATTTGATCACATGATGCACACCATTAGAATGGCAGTGCCCATCAACTTGGGGGGAGGAGTGACCCCCTTAAATAGCTTATGGGGGAGGTGAAGGGACCTTGGTATTGGAGGGGGATTTCCAGCCGGTGGCAGAGGACAGAGTGACTCCAGGAGACATAGGTGTAAAAACCCAAACTAAAACGAAGACTTTATTACTAAGCAAATAAACACAAACTCTGGTGGATGTTATTCCTGCAGGCAGGCAACAAAACTCAGCTTTTTTCCTTTATAGCAACGGTCACCTGCAGCCAATTAATCCCAGAAACTTCTTAAAGGTATACACACATGTTTCTGTGCCGAATGTCCTCTAACACCCCCTCTCATTCAAACAGAAACAATAGTATTTTAAACAGAACAGAACATATTTACATATCACACACAGCAACTCCCAACTTTGCTACCAGTCGTGCATGTTTTTTGAATTTCTAAACCGAGATAATTTTTTACTGGACCCAAATCTCTTACTTTAAATTCCTTTCTTAGTTGTTCTGCAAATTTTTCCACTTGCTTGTCACTTTTTGTAGAGTAAAGCAAATCATCAACGTAACACAAACACAATTCTTGTTTATCACCCTTTCCTTTAGTGTACAAGCAGTTATCAGCTAAGCTTCTTTTAAAACCAAGATTTTTTAAAGCATTATCAAGACACTCGTTCCAATTTCTAGCTGACTGTTTGAGCCCATAAATTGCTTTGTTCAGCCTATATACAGAATTCTGTTCTCCTGCTTCAAAACCTGGCGCTTGATTCATAAAAATTTCTTCTTGCAGATTTGCGTTAAGATAAGCTGTTTCAATATCAAAATGGTTTACCTTAAACCCACGTTGTGCTGCAAGAGCTAGCAATAAGCGTACACTTTCACTCCTTGCAGTAGGAGAAAAGGTTTCATCAAAGCTTTCACCTTTTCTTTGAGTAAAGCCTCGTGCTACCAGCCTGGCTTTGTACTTAACATCACCATCTGCCAAATGTTTTATTTTATACACCCATCTACAGCCCACTGCCTTTTTTCCTTCTGGCAATGGCTCAATGGTAAAGACATTGTGTTCTGCTAAAGATTTCATTTCTGCTTTCATTGCATTTTTCCACCTTACTATTTCCTGGTGTGGTAACTTTAAAACTTCCTCATAATCACGAGGTTCCTTTTTCACATCAACAGTTTTAGCTTCTTGTATAGTAAACCTTTCTGGAGGTACCCCCTTATTGCTTCTTTGTGACCTTCTAACTTGAACACTCTCCCCCTCTGAACTATCTTCCCCTTCTGATTTATCCTGCTCAGGAGAAATTGGTTCAGCTTTAGGAGATTGTGTACTGGGATCCTCATCCCCTGAATCCTCATCACTGTCACTTTCAGAACCTTCTTTAATTTGTGGCTTTTCTTCCTCAGATTTCACAAATTTATCTGTATCATCAGAAGATAACATAACTTCTGAATTTCCATGTAAACGAACCCAACCATCTTGCTCACAAAACTCTGCATGTCTTGATATTACAACTCTGCCACGCCCTAGTGCAAAACGATACCCCTTTGACCAAGTTTGATAGCCAACAAACCTAAGTTTCTTTGCCTTGGGCTCTCCTTTCCTTCTCTGTCCTTTTGGGATGTGAACCCAAGCCCAGCAACCAAAAGTTTTAACATGGTCCAAAAAGGGTTTTTTTCCATAAAGCAAAAAATGAGGGGTATTGTTTATGGTAGAATGAAACAATCTGTTCTGTATGTAGTTAGCACACAGAATTCCTTCTCCCCAATACTTCCTGGATAGGCCAGAATCACATAGCATTGAATCTAGCATTGTTTGTAAAGATCTTATCTTGCGTTCTGCAACTGAATTTTCTTCAGGCGAAAAAGGACACGATTTACGGTGACTAATACCACGCTTTTTCAACCAAACTTGGAGGGCTTCAGACATAAACTCGCCTCCACGGTCACTTTGCAACTGGGTAACTTTGTAGGGAAACTGCCTTTCTATATAGTTGATCCAATTCTTAATCAGTTGACCAGTTTCACTTTTGTGTTTTAACAAATATACCCAAGTATACCGGCTATAATCATCTACAAGAACCAAAAAAAACTTTGCTCCTCCTTCAGACTCTGCAAATGGCCCACAAAGGTCTGAATGTACTAAAGCAAATGGCCTCTTGCTAATTCTAGTACTTTCAGGATAAGACCCTCGCTTACTTTTAGACTCCTTGCAGGTATTGCAGTCTAGAAAAACTGAACATTTTTTCATTTTAATTCCCTTGCTTAATTCTGGCATTTTTGCAATACTGCGGAAATTGGCATGCCCCAAACGACGATGCCACAGATGCTGGCACTCATCATGCAAGGCTCTATTACAGGCTTTAACACATGCCCCAGACTCACTTACTAGCTGGTCTTTCAAAACAAACAAACCATTTTGTAGCGACGCTGTAACCACTTTTCCAGCTTTCTCTATTCTACAGCCTGAACCAGAAAAGGTTACTTTAAATCCCTGCTTAACAAGACTTGTTACTGAAAGCAAATTATTTTCTAAACTTGGTACACATAAAACATTGGTAAACTTGGTACTTAAACAGTTGATATTCACACTACCCTTTCCAGCTGACTCATGCACTGTTCCATCAGCTAGTACTACATTTACAGATTTACAAGGCTGCTTTTCTACAAGGGTTTGTGCAGACTTGACAAAAATGTTTGTCGCTGCTGAGTCTAAAATCCAGTCTTGTCCAACGTCGTGACTGGTGCCTCGAACTGCTGCAGAAACATACTGGACTCGACTCTTCCTGTCTCCTCGCTTCCCAGCAAACGCAGGCCGCCCTTGTCTTGTATTTTCTCCCACAGACACAGTGCACTGTCGTACTAAATGCTTGGTTGACCCACAACGATAGCATCTTCTAACTGTGAACGCTGCTTCCTCTCTGTGGTCTACAACCTCTTTAGGATGCCGCTCCTCATCAGTTGCATATCTTTTACTGGACTGCCTCCCATTTCTGGAGTTACGGTGAGGGGTTGTGGCCTTCCTCTCATGGCGTCTTTCCTCCTCATCAAGCAAACGCCCAGTTAAGAAATGCATTGTTAATTGGCTTTCTGGGATTGCTTCCAGAGTCATCACTAAATTGTCCCATGACTCAGGAAGTGAAGACAGCACAATATAAACCTTTCTCTGTTCAGAAAAATGTTCCCCAAGTTCATTTAACTGTGAAAATAAATCACGCATTCTTTGAAGGTGTGTTGAAACACATTCACCCTCACTTAGTCTGGCTCGGTACAGAGCTCTCATTAGAGTAATTTTGCTGCCAGCAGTGTCTCTAATATGTATTGCTCTCAGTGCTTGCCAAATCTCACTTGCTGTTTCAAGGTCTCGCACATGAGATAACTGAGACTTCTCTAAACTCAAAATTAAATTGGCATAGGCTTTGTCCTCCAGCCTTTGGTCTGCTTCATCTACTTCTTCATCCTCCTCTTTTACAGGAGGGTTAACAATAACAGTCCAACATTGTTCTTTCTTTAAAAACGCCTGCATCTGTAAACTCCATGACATATAATTGGACTCTCCCAGTTTCTCTACTGGAAAATAGGAAGCTCCCCCTTGAGCTCCAGCTCCAAGTCCAGCCATGGCGCCACCCAGCTTTCAGCTTTCCACTCAGTTCTTACTCACACGTGGCTTGAAGAAATGTTCGGCTCCTGGTCTCAAACAGACACTCCCTGCCGATGCCTTCACACAGCCAGCTGCTTGAGAAACGCTGAGTTGCTTCCAGTCTCTGGGTTCTTTTCACGCTCTGTCTCTGCCCACTCAGGACTGGGGACTGGGCCCATAACCTATTGGAGGGGGATTTCCAGCCGGTGGCAGAGGACAGAGTGACTCCAGGAGACATAGGTGTAAAAACCCAAACTAAAACGAAGACTTTATTACTAAGCAAATAAACACAAACTCTGGTGGATGTTATTCCTGCAGGCAGGCAACAAAACTCAGCTTTTTTCCTTTATAGCAACGGTCACCTGCAGCCAATTAATCCCAGAAACTTCTTAAAGGTATACACACATGTTTCTGTGCCGAATGTCCTCTAACACTTGGCTCCTAGGAGTTGGCTGCTATGCGTGGTGCCCAGATTCCTTCAAATTCTGAAATCTTACCGCCTGGTGCTTAGATCAGACATAAGAGATCTCTGTGCCTGAGATGGCTGGTGATTGGCAAGTGGGTGCAATTTGTTCAAAGCAACCTCATGGGACAAACTGAGAGGCTGGTGGGCCTGGCAAGATCAATGGGCTAAAGATATTGCACAACGGCTCTAGGATGGTCCCCTCTTTAACATTGGATTGGATTGGCCTCCAATCCAAAACCAATTCATGCAGGCTTAAGGAACTGAGATCAGGAAGGGATAAAGCTCCAAAAGATACACACAACTCTTTGGTTATGATTTATTGTTGGTGAAGTTTCATGACAACAAACCATTAGAACACAGGCAGGATGAAGCCCAAGTGATTCAGTCACAGCAGAAGAACCTGACATCATTAAGTGCTGTGTTATCATGTAAATGTTCATAGTAAGCCTCCACCTTTGTTTGGATCCCACAGATGGCACCAGCTTTGCAGCGCTTGCTCCAGCGGCCATAAGTACCGAAGTCGGTGGACATGGCCTCCAGTCCAGTCCCATCTCCACAATTGAACCGGATGTTGTTGGCTGCCGTATCATCAGATGGCCCTTGTGGGGCTTCCACATTCAGAACAAAGGAGACCAGGTAGCCCTTGGGGCATTCCTTAATCTTTGTCCACTTTCCCAACCTGGAAAAAGAAAAAAAGACAATATGGTAATGTCTGCCTCTCTGGAAAGACGACCCAAATTGGAATGATTTGCTTTCCACCACGAAAGTCAAGAGGGTAGTTCTCTCCTTAGATTTTTAAAAGGCGTCTTTTGTAGACCTCATCAGGTATAGTGTGTCTACCAAACCTCAACTTCTAAGTAGGGCTGTGTGTTGTGACCCCTGGAGTAGGTGGATCTGCCCTGTGCCACCCGGGGTCCACCCACACCACACCCTCCCAATCTCCCCCTGGAAGATGGAGCTAGTGAATCTTTAAAGGGGTTTCGAACCCCAATCTTCTGTAAAGAATGGGGTTGTTTTGTAAGGTCAGGGTACATCGGTGCCACGTAGCATTTTCTACTCTTGCCTAATAGATGCTAAGCAGATCGGCCTGATTCTGTGTGGTGCTGCTGCTTCTTCATGCACTCCAGTGACCAGCACCATGCAGGATGGCATCCACTAAGTTAAGTGGTAACAACTTTCCTGCAAGAAAGCCACGGGCAAGGCAGCACCTGCACCCCACAGGATCAAGGTCTCTGCTAAACAGCTGTTGAGCAGAGGCATTGATATTTTAGGCCAGTGCATCTGCCAGGAAGGAGAGCTGCAGTATTGTGCCTACTTTCTCTCAGGAAGGCACAGCCACTAGTTAGGTAGGTCTTGGCCTTTTCATACTCAGGCTGCCTCGCCTTCCTGCCTGAGGTCCTGACCTCTGACAATCACAGATAGTAATGAGGACCAGGCAGAGAAGCCTGGGGGACCACATTTGACCCCTGGGCTTGAGGTTCCCCACTCTCAGGATAGATGGTGCTTTCCTCTTGCTCTCTCTTTCCTTGGCATGTGTGGTCCTCAGGAAGAAACTCTGCTTTTCCTTTCCTTTGTACTCTGTTGTTGCAGTCTCCTTTCTCTTTGTTATGTGGGGCTTGGGTTCCTCTGAAATTTGGAAGGCAACCTAGAGTTGGTATCCTTAGAGTCTGAGAGCTAAGAATGAGGATGATAGACCCTGACATTATCCTGCCCTGGTGCTGAAACATAATAGATTTCAGCCATCCGCTCACAGCATCACTTTCCAAGCAGCAAAGAGAAAAATCAAGAAGATGCTTACGGTCCAACAGTGGATTGAACAACTGCACCAGTACTGCAATGGAGACGGATGCCATTGAGGGAAGTATCATCATCAGTCAATCCTTGCATTTCCTGTACCTGGTGGAAAAGAGAGAAAGAGACTGCAATAAAGCTGTTTTTGCAAGCTAGGACTCTGTTTTATATTCTTTATTGAAAAATAAAAAGTACAAAATTACAAGTGCACAGAGTAAGACCAGGCACAAAAAAGAAAAAGAAAAAAGAAATAGTACCCATGTAGAAAACAAAACAGAAAAAAGATATTGTGTATGTTATAAAATGGGAGGTTTTAACTGTAGTTAACCAAACTAGGACTCTGACAACACTCAAATTCAGACTGTGTCTGCAGTCTGAATTTTCCAAAGTACTAGCTTGCAACCTAAATAAGCAGTTATCTGTTCATAATTACATGTCCCTACTTGTTGGGACGTGGTTCGCCCTGTGGGTTAAACTACAGAGCCTAGGACTTGCTAATCAGTAGGTAGGTGGTTCGAATCCCCGCAATGGGGTGAGCTTCCGTTGCTCGGTCCCTGCTCCTGCCAACCTAGCAGTTCAAAAGCACCTCAAAGTGCAAGTAGATAAATAGGTACCACTCTGACGGGAAGGTAAATGGCCTTTCCGTTCACCGCTCTGGTTCACCAGAAGCAGCTTAGTCATGCTGGCCACATGACCCGGAAGCTGTACAATGGCTCCCTAGGCCAATAAAGAGAGATGAGCACCACAACCCCAGAGTCAGCCATGACTAGACCTAATGGACAGGGGTTCCTTTACCTTTACTTGTGTACAAGTATTACTGGTTATGGATTGAGATTTACATTCCCCACTGCATCAAAAGACAGTAGCTTTTTGATGCAACCAGTCCAATGGGCCCCAAGTTGTTGTTGTTTAGTCGTTTAGTCGTGTCTGACTCTTCGTGACCCCATGGACCAGACAAACCAGGCACTTCTGTCTTCCACTGCCTCCCGCAAAATAATAATAATAGGAATAATGATAATAATAATAATAATAATAATAGGGGGGAAATGATCTTGCTAATGACTGGCTAAGGCACCCTCAATAACTCTTTTATGTCTTCATATGCTACAGCAGGTTTCCTCCAGTTTGTGAAGTTAGGGTTGCCATATTATTTCAAGAAGTAAGAATCCAAACACAAAAAGTTGTTGAGCTTTTTAGGGAAAAGTTGTTGAAATCATGGGCATGTCAGGGAAAATACGGATTTATGGCAACCCTCTAGAAAGCACCAGAACTCACCTGGGTTGCTTCCACACTAACCGTTTAGTTTGTATTTTCCAGTTGGACACTCACTTTTCAGGAAGATAAACCTGACCACAATATTGCCAGCTCACTGCACTCCAAACCTTTCTGTATCCTTGTCCCTTTTTTCCTCCAGGCCGGATTCATGGTAGTTTTCTTTTATGTAAAATGCAATTCACTCTAAGCCTCTCCAGTGTGGATTGACAAAGTGGCATGGGAGACTTTTTAGAGCTATTAAATCTTTAAGCATGGCAGTCAACACTTCAAAGCACCTTGCAGGCAGCAATATGCAGGCAATGGGTTCAGAAAGAAAGATGGAAAGCAACTTGAAATATATATATATTATATTATTGTGACTATTCCTTGGGATCAGGGTATCAAAAAGAAGATATAGATAAGCCTTTACCTTCAGTGAGAATCCGTATGCATGTCCTTTGGGACAGAATTCAATTTCTCCCCATTCTCCCCACTGTCCGCCATTGGACACCATGAGGACTGAATTATAGCTTCGATGTTCTGCCTCACAGAGGTGGTAGGTGAGGAACAGGAAGACCACAGCACTGGTAGAGAGATCCATGGCAGGTGGACTACACCAGATCGAGCTGCAAAAACTGAATGGAAGAATAACAGCCTTGAGAATTTATTCCGCAGAAAGTGTGGTTCTCTTTCCTCTGCTCAAAATCTTCCTGAATCTTGTGTTTCCCCCCGGAGGGAAGTGTGATTACTTCAGGTTGATGAGTAAAACCAATTAATGGCTTTTCTGACTACACTTCTGATTTCAAAAGACAACTCAGAGTTGCTGGATATTGGTGCTAGATTCCTCAAACAGAAAGGCAAGGCAGGATGGCAGGAATTGGCTGATGTAAGCTAACTAACTAAGCTTCCAGTTCCGTTCTGCCTTTCTGGAAGCAGACCCCATGGCAGTGGGAGACTGTTGGCAAAGGAAAAACAAAGATGGTTGAGGGTAATTATCCTTGCAAATTCCCCCCAGGGACAGAGGGAAATAGGCTTCACTCGCAGTTCGTCTCAGTACCTGGCTCTCGCTCCGGCATTGCAGGGAGGTGCTGAGTGCAAAAGCACTTTGCCTGCTGAAAACCCTCCAATGCCTCCATTAAGAAGCAGAGGTTCTCCTGTTAATTACAGCTTAATTGGACTAAAGTACAGGCGCACGCTAGAAGAGATGAGATCACAAACTGCAGAACAAAACCAACTATAACGACTTTAAGGTTAATACTTGAGAGAAGACTTCATCTGGTGCAAAAGATGGTGTGGGGGGAGGGGGGCCTACGGCTTCTTTATTTAAAGTTTTCTTCTCTACATTTATGATTCATCAACCCTCCTCTGAGTGTTAGTTCAAATTATATTTGTTCAAGCAAGGATGGAAGAAATTGGATTATAGATATGGAATATAACATTAGATGGAACTGGGGTGGGGGAGGAGAAAGGGAGGGAAGCTCTATTTTGCAAAAGGTTTACGATGGAAACATAGAGCTAACTCTTCCCCATCCTTTATTATTTACAAAGTGAACTGAATAACTGAAGACTTGGAGTTTAATTTAATTGGAAGTGTAATTGCTCATATATCTTCAGTTGGAAGGGAGGATGAAAGGAGTCTGTGAACTGGCCAAGGAACTGATAAGGTTCATTACTGAGTCATCTGCAGTTCAACAGACCACTCTTCTACCCAGGCTGAGAGGAAAAATGGTAAAGATGGGTTATTTATTGGGACAGAGTGACTTTTGCAGCTGTTGTTAAAGTTGCAAAACAATGAAGCATGGGACAGAGCAACAGAGAAATTTCTAGAACAATAAGATATCAGTTCTCCCGAAGGCATGATGGAATAACAGCAACAACCGGGGAAAGAAAGACATAATATCTTACAAGGACAGGAAGAAAAACCACGGACAGAATAATTGCCACACACAGGAAGAACAAAGATATAGCTTGAGTTTTTCACTTGTACATTTATAAATCATTTAATGTGTCAAGACAAATAGAAATTATTAATATTGCAGTTGTTATATAAGGGAGTATTGTTATTATGACCGGAATGCAATGAAAATTAATAAGATTTTGGAATGCGGGTTGCGAACATGCCTCCCACACAGATCACATTAACAACCTAAGAGTCCACTGTAATTCGATATTTAAATTATTGATATCAATAATTGTATTATAAACTGGTATTGTTATAATGAGGCTATTATTGGATTGTAAATGAAAACTAATAAAAATATTGTGGGGGGGACTAAGATGTGCATTTCTTACCCACCCTTTGCCCTTGCTAAAATGTCTCTCCTATGCAAACTCCCTCCATTTCTGTTTTATAGACTTGCAACCCTTCAAAAGAAATGCATATTTAAATACCCTGAAAACTTGTGGAAAAAGTGGGGTACACTTTTCACAATAGGGCCTAATGCCAAGAGCAAGAATACTTGGCTGAATCCCCCACCCAGCTCTACTTCACTCAAGTCTGACAGTTGACCAGGCCTACATCATTCTGGCTACATTGCAACCCTTACCTTTCTTTGTCCTCACTTGGAGTCCTGCTTACCGTCTCTCAGCTGACAATTACTCTACGGGCAGAAAGAGAGAGTCCATAAACTGAGTAATGAAACACGGACGTGAGCAGGGAATTTAAAGGGTTCAGGACAATGAAATGTAGGAACTCTCTGTCCTGAGCAACACCTCCCATGCTCCACTGATCCATCACAGAGCAGAGCAGATGGAGAGGACTATGAAGTCTTCCTGGTCCTGTGCTTACCTCAGCCCCATTACCAGTGGCTTTTAGGAAGTGCCTGCTGAAGCCATTTGCAAGGGGGAGTGAGGAGAGTTATCGGAAGGGTCAGGACATCATTTCAGGGACAAAGACCAGGACCGTACAATTGGCTTTAGGACAGGGTTGGGCAAACTGTCACTCTTGAGCCACATGCGGGTCCTCAGCCTAATTGCCACAAGTCCTCAAGCAGGGGAGTTCAGACTTCCAGCAAAAGTGATGTTACCTTTTCATGGGAAACCACTAGCATGGAGGAAATGGGGGGGAGGGCAACACATACAGAAGAGGGTGTCAGAGAGAGGGGAAAGAAGGTGTCTTGTATCTTGATAACTGTAGCTCCACTGTGTGTATACTAGTTTTCTCAAAGGGAGAGTTAGTTCCCTTATCAATCTGCTGTTCACAAAACCATTCAGGTGAAGCCATGACAGTTCACCTGATAGAAATGTAATATAACCTTTGTGGTGTAGATACCGTATGTCCACAGATAACTAGAACGGCAGAATTTCACCATCAGCTTCATAGTACCCTTCAGACTTTTACAGCAAGCCTCATACTGTGAGGTCTATTAGAGACCTGCAAAGACCTGTTGGAGGACACAAACAATCATGAGAAAGAAAGGCTAATGCAGAGCTGCAAAGTCTTTAAAAATGTTTATGAGGAGTGGGGAGATGGTGGCATGAGGCAAGTGCTTCCTATCCGCATACAGCAATAACTATCCCTACGAGCCAAAATAATGGGCCAAGATATACCACACTTGGTGCCTTTAGGTTTGGAAAATCAGCAAGCACCACTTCAGCAAATGAAAGCAATACTGCCCAATACTGTTGTTTGAATGGAAGGCACTTAGGGACACTTAGAGACATCACCTTGCCAACAAAGGTCCGTATAGTTAAAGCTATGGTTTTCCCAGTAGTGATGTATGGAAGTTAGAGCTGGACCACAAACAAGGCTGATTGCCAAAGAATTGATGCTTTTGAATTATGCTGCTGGAGGAGACTCTTGAGAGTCCCATTGACTGCAAGAAGATCAAACCTCTCCATTCTGAAGGAAATCAGCCCTGAGTACTCACTGGAAGGACAGATCCTGAAGCTGAGGCTCCAATACTTTGGCCACCTCATGAGAAGAGAAGACTCCCTGGAAAAGACCCTGATGTTGGGAAAGATGGAGGACACAAGGAGAAGGGGATGACAGAGGACAAGATGGTTGGACAGTGTTCTCGAAGCTACAAACATGAGTTGACCAAACTGCAGGAGGCAGTGGAAGACAGGAGGGCCTGGCGTGCTCTGGTGCATGGGGTCACGAAGAGTCGGACACGACTAAACGACTAAACAACAACAACAACAACAGCAGCACTTTTGTATGAATGGAAGGCAGTTACGGACACATCCAGACAAGGAAGCAGACCTGAAAAACTTGGTGCCTACTCGGGATGAAAAGCCCTCCAACGGAACAACAGCAAGAGCTGCAACAGCTTTAGTGAATGCTTTGAAGGAAGAAATGTCTCTGCAATTGATGTCTAAACAGAAGCATATGAATATATGGATGGACATTCTGGAAGCAAAGTTTGGGATTTAAAAAGAAAAATGGAGGATAATGAAACACTGATCCACTCACATGGACATCGGAAATCTGTTTGTGCAATGGGACTTTTCGTTTCTTTTCTTCCTCTGCCAGCTCCTCATCCCCCCCCCTAAAAATCTGCTCGGGACGGTTTCCCCAACCCTTTGGAGCACCTGTTGAGGTTCTGCAGGGGATGCAAAGGGAGGAAAGGAAGTCCCATTGCTCAAGGGAGTGTTCTCCACTCAAGTACATCCATGACCTTTAATTTCTAAAACAGATTATTGACTCTAGAAAACTGGCCAATCCAAATACCAAAGCTAACTGCTGAAACCAACTGCTGTTTGAAGGCAAGCACTGAAACAAATTGCTGAACTGTCCCTCTCACCATTTTTTTTGCTGAAATGAATCATTCATTGAAATGAATTTTTATCAGCTTAATCTGATACACTATAATGTTACAGGGCTGGAGGTAGTCTTGTGTCCATTATCCATGATCTTCCTGTTAGATTAACTGAAGTGAGTTATGCATGGGGTGACTTTGAAAACTGTACAGAAAGTTCTGCATGGGGTATAAAGGCTCTTAAAGGGCTTGTGGACAATTTCACTATATTGCACTAGTGATTTATTGTCTACTCCTTAAATGGCCTAGGAACAGCTTACCTCAAGGATCACCTCCTCCCAGGTCTACTTACCTGGACCCTGATATCATCATCAGAGGCTCTCTTCCAGTGCTCCTGGATTCAGGGTCTTATAGGTGGTGTCAGCCGGGTTATGAAATGCCTTCCCTGGAAAGGCCCATCTGGTGCCATCTTTGTGATGTTTACTGTCCAAAGTTTTAAAACTGAACCTTTGAATTCACAGGGTTTTAGGTGTGCTGTGTATATTTTTTGTGATGTTGTATATTCATCTTTATATTGTGTTATTGAAACTGTTGCTTTTTTTAAATAAGATATTTATTAAGTTTTTCAAAGAATACACATAGATTTATGAACTAAAAAAATTACAAACAAAAAATTACAGTGTTGGAAAAAAAAGATAGAAATTACAGAAAAACTAAGAAAAAATACAGATAGAAAATACATACACAAACCCAGAAAAACAAAAAAATGCAAAATTTAAAAAACCCAATCCAGTTTTCAGAGCTTGTAGGTTCATTTACTTATTTTCTTGACTTCCTCACACCTCCCCTTTTTGTATTCCCATTTAAATAGTTGGTTCAGCAAATCCTAGCCTTCTTTCAT